GAGGCGTAGTTGTTTGAGCCTCGTCTGCAGCAATACCTCATTTCATTATTATACTTAATTCAATAAAACAAAAAATAAACTTTTTATCAGTAAAGGCATTTAAGTGGCATATAAACCATCAAAATCCTATTCTTCAAATTTCTCATTTTAACCATTAATGAATGCCAACATCCTTCCCCATTAAACTTTTTATAACAACTACGAACAGCTAGCAAAACTGATTGCTTTATTTCCTATTCTTCAGCCCCAAATGCTAAGGAACAGTGACCTGAAATTATAAAATAACCAAGCAGTGGGCCCTGAGAAGTAAAAAGAAGAGGCATTAGCTCTTCCTTAGGCCGTTGATTAACCAGGTAGTCAGCTTTTTTAAATAGATTGTTTAAGTTAGTAAGGTCTGTGGCAAGTATGAGCAGGCCCAAGGGAACACAGGGGGATAAGTGTCAATAACAGTTTTATTCTGGCTCAGTTATTTGGAAATGAAATCAGGAAGCTTTTACAAATGGAAACCTAAACTATATCACTGAAAAGTTAAAACTAGATGTCATTTTCTAGGTAATTTCATAATTTTCCACAAAATTATACATACAGGCTGTTTTTTTTTTTTTAGTAAAATAATTCCATTTTTTCTCTTGAGAACATGGAACCCCCAAGGAATGATTGTTCCATACTACTGTTAGGAGAGTTACTGTGTTTACCTGCCTTTTTGAATAGTAGTTTTTACTTTGACCTTATTTCATCCAACAAACACTTGTGCACCTGGAGACATACATTTCATTTGTTTTTATGAGGATTTGGGTGCTCTTGTTGTGTATTTCATACGCCTAGGAAGGCTTGAGGACAGCATGTATTAAAGCACTCCTTTCCCAGTGCTCGTGTGCATGTGACTCACCTGGAGAGCTTGTTAAAACAGATTCCCCAGCGATTCTGATTCAGCGGGTACAGTACTAGGCCCGCAAATTTGCGTTTTAACAAATTTCCAGGTGATGCTGTGACTGTTCATCCGGGACCACTGGTCTAAAGGGTATCGGATGTGAGAAGTGACAAATCCCATGAACCATGGTAACATGGTTAAGATTATACTTATCATTAATTCCATACACACATATACATTTTACAAATATCAAATAGTGTCTTTGTTTCTTTTATCTAGTGATGTGGATCCCTTGACATTTTGCTTTCAAGCAGGTTTTCAAAAATGTAATGGAAATCATTTCTTCTTTCCCATTTTAAGTCTCTATTACATACACCTACCTTACTGTATTTCCAGAACTTGAGGATAACAGAAACATGAGGGTATGATTCCTCATGTCCCCTTTGAAAACCTAATTACTTAAATGAATGATATTATTAAAATATTTTTAGGTGTTTTATATAAAAAACAGTGGAATAAAAGTGAATAAACTTTAAATAATAATGCTTTTCAGCAATGAAAGGAGAAAGTGGTGATTGGTCACTCAGTGAAGATTTACTTTTTGTACTAAAATCTAGATTTTTATATTTCTAAGGCAGTAGGAAAAATAGTAAATTCACCACTACTTTTTTTTTTTTTTTATTTTTGCGGTACGCGGGCCTCTCACTGTTGTGGCCTCTCCCGTTGCGGAGCACAGGCTCCAGACGCGCAGGCTCAGCGGCCATGGCTCACGGGCCCAGCCACTCCGCGGCATGTGGGATCTTCCCGGACCGGGGCACGAACCCGTGTCCCCTGCATCGGCAGGCGGACTCTCAACCACTGCGCCACCAGGGAAGCCCCATCACTACTTTTTAAATATCACATTATTCACTTTCTAAAATAATTTTCTTTCTTCCTGAAGCTAAGTACCATAGTCTCAGCATGTAGGTCTGAAAAATATATAACTACCTTCTCAAGTACCATTAGTATCTCTATCATGGCTTTTATTGTTTGCAGATGTTTCTTAGGTTAAATTCTGTTCCTCACACACATTTTTCTAAAAGAAGTTTCTTATTCTTGTTCTTAAAAAAAAGGTTATTTGCCGTCTCACCATATAGTGCCAACTTTCTTAAGGTAAATTATTTTTGACTTGTGTCCCTATGTGCCACTGCTAATAAAAAGTACTGAATTTTCTAAGTTCCAAGTGACACAGTTTTCAACTTAAATATTTAAATAACTAACGTTACCTAAAACTTTGCTCTTCTCAAACCACTTTTACAATATTGTCTCTTTGACCCTCATGAAAACCCAAATTTTGAATTATAACTCTACACATTGAGACATATTTAGTTTTTCTCATCAGGTTCATCGATTTGTACATTATACATTTATTGAATGCAAACTAGATGGCAAGTCTTATGTTATTAAATGCTGGGAATGAGATGCTGAACAAAATAGCACTTGACTTCCTAGATTTCAGAGTGTAGAAGAAAATCAAGGATCATAAATCACCCTGTCAGTGGCTAAAATAAGGCTCGTACAGATAGATGCTGATGAAGAGGGAAAGGATGATAGAGGAGGGGCCCCTAACGCAGAGCTGAAGCTAACTTGGAGAAAGAAAAAGGAAGGCTCTCCAGGGACACAAGTATTTCACCAGAGATGATGAGGAAGTTGGCCACATCGAGGGGAGAGAAGTGTACTGTAATGTGAGGGGGTTCTGTGCAATTGTAGAATGTCTTCCTTTCTTGCTGTACTTTTACTGATCCTCCGTATTCCTAGTATGCGTTTTGGGAGATCCCAACACTTTGTCATCTCCATCTCCCAGTTATAATGAACTCCTCTCCCTACTTTTTCTTAGTGGGAAAAAAAAGTTCTCTCTCTTCTTCATTTGTCAAGGAGTTCCTTCCTTTTTAGATGAGACTTTTCCC